GCTACGTATAGTTAGGTTCAAACCCCTAATTAAAAAGCAAAATCAGGAAATCTCATTGAACCGGTTCCATCAATTAATTGGATCTGATAGTAGTATAGCAGGTGGTCAGGATTGGTGTTTGGTTTTTAAATGTGTCAGGACGAGCATAACCAAAAATGAGTGAGCCTTTAGCATTTCTCGATCATCGAAGTTGAGACCTTTGTGATTCAAAGTGACTCTGGGGTTAAACCCTTAACCCTCACCCCTAACATGCACCCATTGATGTTTTTTTGGGATGCTCCTGTCGCGTATACGCAGCGTTTTTCCAGTTCCCCCTCAATATCCAGCAACTTCGCACATCCATTGAGAGGAGTGGACCAACATTTCCGCAGGCCACACTTCAACCTGACAACTCTATGCGAAGGAAGTGTTGCACGCGTGAGGCCAAGAGGTCACACCAGATACGAATGGGTTCGGACCCCACAGAACCCCCCAATAAAGCAAAACTGCACGTTTCAGAGTGGCCTTTTATTGTGGCCAGCCTAAGGCACACCTGTGCAATAATCATGCTGTCTAATCAGCATCTTGATATGCCACACCTGTGAGGTGGGATGGATTATCTCGGCAAAGGAGAAGTGCTCACTATCACAGATTTTTTCAGATTTGTGAACAATATTTGAGATAAATGGTTATTTTGTGTATATAGAAAATGTTTTAGATCTTTGAGTTCATCTCATGAAAAATGGGAGCAAAAACAAAAGTGTTGCATTTATATTTTTGTTCAGTGTATTATGCTCATTTTCAGGTTCATATTTGTATTTAGTGCCTCGAATGTGACATATTTACATGTTTTAATGTTCAAAAAAGTTGCTATTTTTCTCATAAAGCCCAGTCTGCTCTGATTGGTTAGCTGGCTGGCTCTGTTGAGATTGGTCAACCGCTTAGAGTTGTGTTTAAAATGTCACAAACCTACAGAACACTCTTGAAGAAAGGGAAAACCACAAAAATTGGAATATGGCCTCTAAATAATATAAATGGAGATTATCCTGCTATATTTCAAAATCCAATGGTAAAATCCCATGATTACCAAAATCAACACATATAATAGTAGACTCAAGAGGAATACATAGGGTGATTCATTAGATACAGATATATATAGGACATTGAGTTCTCTTCATGAGCAGTTTAATGGTAGTGCTTAAAGGTGACCTATCATGCAAAATGCACTTTTGTACGTCTTTTACACATGAATATGTGTCCCCGGTGTTCCAGGGAACTCACCAAGTGTCAGAAAACACAACCCTCTCTATTTTCCTCCATACCCAAATCTAAAGAAAAAGGGGCTGCAACGGATCTGATACAGACTGATCCAGATTTGAAATATCTCTGACGTTAGAAACGAGGAGCTCCCCCTATATGGGCAACTCTCCACCTATCAGGAGGAGACAGCCACGGCCATTGCCGCTCGAAAGATCGAGACGCTGTAGTACATATGCCAGGCCTGTAGGTGGCGCTGTAGTCTGCCACAAAAGCAGCGAAGAAGACTTCTCACAGATTCAGCCCTTGCAAAAACACGGCTAAAAAAGAGCAAATAGAGAGAAATGAGGGATGGCTAAAATGCATGATCTGTTTGGTATTTTGAAGAAAAAAACTTTGCAGACATGTTTTATATAGGTATGGTCCTACAATATATTATTCAAATATAGCATGATAGGTCCACGTTAAAGTACAGTTTAAACTGATTTAGAGTTCTTAAAACTGTTGCTGAATTTTAATATCTGGACACACAGCATCATTATTATTCCTGAAATATTTTCAAACACAGATTTGGTTTGAGCTTGTGTGTACGCCCAGTGTGAATTATTTTGGATTCTTGTTTTAATGACTGTTTTCTTCTCTCAAAAATGTCCGTATATAAAATAGTCAGAGCACTCTTACTTGCCATGTGCATCACTATTTTTGACTTGAATGACATTCCAGCTCAGGTGTCTTGGAAGTTGCTCCAACAGGATACAGCGTGTCGTTGGATGTTTCAATGCTTCAGTTGTTTTTGTCTGCTCTGTTATGCAAATATTCGCAATACAAATGAGCAAACTACACCTAAATCCATGCTGTTCATTTCAATGCCAGCTCATACAAGTGGCCGTCGGCAAAGGAGTGTCCATGAACATTCAAATAGATAGCTGAAACTATGTTTGAATTCTCGCTATGCAGCACAGATTTATTTTAAATGGCTTCTTCTAAAATTGCTATATTCATCCTAGCATTTTTATGCAAATCAGCCAATTAAACAGGCTAGATGGAAATGACAATATTCAAACTTCCACAGTGCAGCAAAGCTTGCAGAACTGAAGTCACTCTGGAGGGAACTTTGGGATGTTTTCATCTCAAAGCTAGTTCAGCAGGTAAAATGCCATGTTTGTCAAGATATTGAAACGAAATGCACATTTGACATGAAGCCATTCCTGCCATTTTAAAAGGCCAGATTGTGATTGGATTGAGGGATGTCACTGCGTTCCTCTAACCTTTTTCATTACCAGTAGTAGCTTGATTCTGCAGGCAGATTTAACATCCATCGTGAGTTATGATCTCATCCTTGTGGAAGACATGTCACTCAGTAATATGCATTAAGCCACTGAGCTTACTGCATGTCAGCGAGGTGTGCAGCAGCATCCATCCTGCGCTGTTGGGAGAGAGCTTATGAGCTGCATGCAACAACAACAAAATCCAATTTGCCAAGCCATTTTGTGTGATGAGAGGAATTTGCTGCCTAAAACGAATCAGCTAAAGCTCTTTACTGGCCCTGCTGTTGTTTAATTGTCATTGAAATCATGCTGTGGTAGCACTCGGTCAGAGCCAATGAGTTCATCAGCATCTCCAACACGGCATTTAGGGATCCGGTAAAGTGGAATATGTTGCTCATTAAAGTAGCGTGCGGTGCATTTGTTTCCCTTAGGCCCCGAAACAGAGCAGGTGGAAGAGGAGTGGGGATGACCCAGTTTCATCTACATAACTCCCAGAAATCAGCTGGCCTTTTCTTGGTTGAGTCTGATTCCTCCGTCCCTGCTTGGATAGAAAACACCATGATTTACAATGATCGCTGACACGTCATGTTGTTTTTCTCTCTTCTTGAGTATTTGTTCAGATTGTCACACAATGCAGGTCTTGTTCAGCAGGTGAAAGGTTACACCAATGTAGCACGTTGTTGTTGAGACAGGCAGTGGGTTGGGGGGGGATACAGTCCTCTGGTGACATCATCCAAAGCACTCGCTTCCTCTCCCTATGTTTTACTGTTGTGGAATTTCTTTACGCAATATTGTATGTTTAGTTTGTTCTGAGGAAACCGTTCCGCCTGCTTTCGGGGAATTCAAGGGTTCGATTGTCAGGTTGTCATGGGCCATCTACCCTCCCCCCCCCTCATACATACACACACTTTTATGTAATTAAAACTGAGGTTACGCATCCAAAATCCACCCTTTTCATTCTTCACACTACCCTTTAGCTCCTAATTTTGTCTTGACGTGAGAGAAGTTGCATAAATCGCCCAAGCATAACAGACCCCAATCTCAGACTGTCAGTAGCCCCATTGCATTGTGGGTACTGTAATCCCTAAGGAAGAGGAATGCAATGCATGAAAAAAAGAGTTAACATTTTAAAGATACCGACTTGTTGCAGAGAGATTGCAGATGTGGTGCGATACAGTCAGGTTGTTATATGATCATTAATATGGGCATTTAGAAAAAGTAGAAATATTATTTAGACAAGAGAACTGGAAATGCTGCTAGGATGCTAACTAATGTCCGTGTTTTAAGACTTATTCCTGCAACACTCTGGCAAAATTAACCAAAAATGACCTCCCTTTTTTCCTGAAATGTAGCTTGATATTTATTTGTTGCTTGAAAAGTTTGACATCAGGAGATATGAGGTAATCGCCTGACAGAACGGGGGCGCTGCTGTTTCTTTGTTGCCATGGCAACACCATACCCTGAAACAAAGGTTGATTGTTGAGAGGAGCGAGACAGCCGGCATTTCATTAGGAGGCTGCAGCAGCTCCACGTGTGACTCAGTGTTACATCACACACTGTCATCAGCCACCTATCAGCTTCCCCTCGTCTTCAGGAGGAAAACAAACACACCTTTTCTTACCCCGAGCTGTTTGTACACTCCTGCTGCCCCCTCCCACAGAGAAGGGGATGTTAGCAGCTCCACAGGCCACCTTTTAGTAGATACAACCTACCTTTTTTAAAAGCATAAATATAAATGGAGTGTTGTTTCTCACTGCACCAGTGTATCATTTGAGGAGCTGTGATCATCTTTCATATCAGAATACAGCCAGCAGTCAGAGAGAATATTACTGACATGCCCACGAAGGCCTTTAACTGTCAACACAACTAATGAAGACAGGCAGAGAGAGAATACACTGAGAGTGAACTCTGATGTGGGGTCCCGGAGGCAGACACTGTACCGTAAGTGTGTGTTTTTACATGCACGAGCAATAACCGCCTGTCATCATTTCATCAGATTGTTGAGCCCGATGCCAATATCGATGTAAGAGCATTCAAGAAGGGAAGCAGATAACATTAAATTAACTGTCAGCCCGTTTCTCGTGAACTGCAATAAGTCGGGAACACACTGAAGGGAAGTCCTTCAAATTTGGCACAAGAGGATTAGGGGCAAAAGTGATTACATTTTTAAGAATCTGACCAAAAGTCTCAGAAAAAGTCAGAATTCTGTCCACAAGGTTTTAAAGACATTGAAATGACTAGATTCTAAGATCAAAAATGGAGTCGTTTGCACAAAAATGTGCTGATAATGTGTATTTATTTATAATGTGTATCATTTTTACTTCTGTTCTTGACACTTTTTTCCCCTGCATTGCAAGGACAGAGCACCCAGACATAATAAATCCATTTAGACTAAATAAATAAGCTTTTATTTGTCATGGTCTAGTTGCCCTGTGTCTTGTTGATTCCTAATTCC